TGGCCTCCAGCAGAGTTATTTCTACAAGGAGCACATGAGGTAGTGCTTCCTATTGAGAAGAGGAGCTCTGAACTGGAAAGAGTTCATCGGGAAGGCAGCAGGGTCTCCTTCCGTGTGCCCTGTGGGTGCCAAGGGCCGCCAAGTCAGACCCGACGCAAGGAGATCCTTTAGGGTTTTCAAGGTAAGAGATGAAGAGAGGTGGTTTGCCATGGCCTGCCCCTCGGTGCAGTGTCCCTGGATTTCCTTGGTGGTCCCCCATCTAGGAGTTCTCCTCATTTGGGCGGGGCCTTGAGGAGGAGGAGGAGGAGGAGGATGGATTTATACCCCACCCTTCACTCGGAGTCTCCGGCTTACAAACTCCTTTCCCGTCCCCTCCCCTGTGAAGCAGGTGGGGCCGAGAGGGCTCCTTCGAGAACTCTCAAGGACAGCTGTGACGGCGTTAGGGCTTGCCCAAGGTCATCCAGCAGCTGCGAGTGGAGGAGCGGGGAATCAAACCCGCTTCTCCCAGAACAGAGTCCGCGCACTTAACCACTACACCAAACTGGTTACCTGCAAAATGGCCAAAATCAACAACGCCTGTATTATTTATTTATTTATTGGATTTGTATCCCTCCCTCCCCGCCACAGCAGGCGTACATGTGACTTCTCCGTGGTGGCCCCCACCTTGTGGAACGGCTTGCCCAAGGAGGTCAGGAAGGCTTTCCGCTAACTATGCAAAACTGATATTCAACAGGGTTGTTGTCATGATCTGGGCTGTGCCACCAGAGGCCTACTAGGCCCAGGGAGCCGGGCTAGCAGTGGGAGGAGGCTGGGCCTACAAATCCCAGAAGGCCTTGGGAAGTTTTGGTGCTGATTTTGACCAATAGGGAAGAAGAGGGCTGGGGAATAAGAGAACTGGTGCAACAGGGAAAGCTGTTCTTTCTTCCAAGAGGGCAGAGCCAGAAGGAAGGCTGATGCAGGGAAGAGACCCTCATCCTCAGGGAAGGGTGAGTAGTCTAAGGTAGTGAGCTAGGGACAGTATATATTTAGACACATTAGGGCATTTGATTTCTTTTCTTTTCACCCACTTACTGTTATATTTCGGCACCTTGTTTGTTTGACCTCCTATACAATAAACTATTTTCATTGTTCACTCTGCCTGGTCCTCACGCCTATTATTCGGCCAAAAGGGAGGTCTGAAGGTCTTGGGAAGGTGCTCTGGGCCTTCTCAAGGGAACCTAAATCCAGAGTGGTGGCAGCGTCAGTTGACACCCCACCTGAGCAGTGACAGTTGTCTACACAGGAAATCAGGCAGTGCTGTACAAAGGGCCTTCGCTACTTGGATAAATTACTCTGGGGACTGTGGTCTCTACTGCTGTTTATCGTTTGACGTGAGCTGGATCCTACCCTGTAAATTTTGCATCACTTAATGTGTCGTGTTAACACTCATGCTTTGCTTCCGTTCTGGTTTTTTTAGATTTCTAGTTGGTTCTACAAACCCAAATCCTCTTCTCGTTTGAATGTCTCATCTTGTTGATTGTATGGACTCGCTCTGTGTAATCCGCCTTGAGTCCCCAGTGAGAAAGGCAGGCAATAGATAACGTAAATAAATACATAAAAATACTAACCAAGGACTATGATCCTTGGCTTCCAAGATCTGATGAGATCAGGCTAGCCTGAGCCACCCAGGTCAGCACCTCCTTCCTTAGCCAGTTTGGTGTCGTGGGTAGGAGCGCAGACTCTAATCAGGGAGAACCGAGTTTGATTCCCCACTCCTCCACATGCAGCTGCTGGTGTGACCTTGGGTCAGTCGCAAGTTGTCTCAGAGCTGTTCTCTCATGAGCAGACCTCGAAAGAGTCCTCTCAGCCCCACCTCTACCTCACAGGGTGTCTGTTGTGGGGAGGCGGAAGGGAAAGGAGATTGTAAGCCGCTCAGAGACGCCTTCGGGTAGTGAAGGGTGAGGTATAAATCCAATCTCTTCTTCTCTTCTTCTCTTCATGTGAGGCAGATGGTGCACATTCCTGGGGGAACATCAGAAGAGCCCCTGCTGGATCAGAGCAGCAGTCCATCTAGTCCAGCCTTCTGTCTCACACAGGGGCCAACCAGTTCCACTGGATGTCCAGCAACAGGGCATGGATGCTGAGGCCTTCATAAGAACCTCAGAAGAGGGTTCTCCATTAAAAACCACTTAGAGATTTGGAGATGTATGAGTCAAGCATACTGCTCGGAGCTTACCTAAAGCAAGGAAATTGGTCTCCTCCGACTCAAAGACCCCAGGGTTACCATATTTTGAAAAGCAAAAAAGAGGACATATTTCCCGACTGACGACTTCAAACAAGTGATCATGATGACAAATCTCCTTTTAAACAGGGCCTGTAAGGTGGAGCTCTTCCGCCAGGCTTTTGAGTAGGAGCCGCCGCCGCCACTATCCCACCATCGTGGTAGTGCTCCATCGTCTGCCCCTATCAGGGGGTGCAAGCATCGCCTGGCAGAAGCGTATAGAACAGCATTGTGGGAGACCACGCTATTGAGACCTTTCCTATGAGGAAAGGTTAAGGCGCTTAGGGCTCTTTAGCTTGGAGAAACGACGACTGAGGGGTGACATGATTGAGGTTTATAAGATTATGCATGGGAAAGAGCAGGTAGAGAAAGAGGTACTTTTCTCCCTTTCTCACAATACAAGAACCCGTGGGCACTCCATGAAATTGCTGAGCGGTCGGGTTAGAACGGATAAAAGGAAGTACTTCTTCACCCAAAGAGTGATTAACACACGGAACTCACTGCCACAGGAAGTGGTGGCAGCTACAAGCATGGACGGCTTCAAAAGGGAATTAGATAAGCATATGGAGCAGAGGTCCATCAGTGGCTATTAGCCACAAGGTATAGATAGGGACTCTGGGGCAAGTGATGCTCTGTCATCTTGGTGCTTGGGGGGGGGGGTCAACAGTGGGAGGGCTTCTAATGTCCTGGCCCCACTGGTGGACCTCCTGATGGCACTGGTATTTCTGGCCACTGTGGGATACAGAGTGTTGGACTGGATGGGCCTTTGGCCTGATCCAACATTGGCATCTCTTATGTTCTTATGTTCTTATGTTCTTATGAGACAGCTGGCCGCCGAACTGGGTTTATTGTTTCCCATCTTGGATGACTTACATAGGAAGATCAGAGCACCTTGATTATTGTATGGGTTTTATTGTGGTTTTAAATGTTGTCTATTTTATTGTATTTTTATCTATTCAACTCGGCTTTGCCGCATGTTAGCCGCCCTGAGCCACTGGGAGGGCGGGTTACAAATCTATAAATAAATAAATAAATAAATAAAAAAGAGGACATCTGGCAACTCTACCCTAGGATTTATCTAGTTCTCACTCAAGTGCCAGATCTGTGTCTGACACGTACCATTTCAGATTCGTGTTTGGGACAGTGGATACGGCCACGATCAAATGTTCCTACACGGCCCAACCCGTTCGCCCTGACATTTTGGCTTTTTGTGTGAGGGGAACTTCCCTTCTGCATGGAGGAGCACTCGGAGTCACACAGTCTTTCAACGGTAGTCTGAACCCGCAAAGCCCAGAAGTAAAACGGGCACGGATAACACGTGGAAGTCACTGCTGCAGGAAATGGTGGCGGCTACAAGCATAGACAGCTTCAAGAGGGGAAATGGGTAAACACCTGGAGCAGAGGTCCATCAGTGGCTATTAGCCACAAGGTATAGATGGGAGACTCTGTCTGGGGCAGTGATGCTCTGTATTCCTGGTGCTTGGGGGGGGGGGCAACAGGGTTCTGGAGTTCTGGACCCGCTGGTGGATCTCCTGATGGCCCATGGGTTTGGGCCACTATGTGACAAAATGTTGGACTGGATGGGCCATTGGCCTGATTGATCCAACATGGCTGCTCTTATGTTCTTATGTCTGGGGCAGTGATGCTCTGTATTCTTGTTGCTTGGGGGGCCACAGTGGGAGGGCCTCTGGAGTTCTGGCCCCGCTGGTGGATCTCCTGATGGCCCATGGGTTTGGGCCACTATGTGACAAAATGTTGGACTGGATGGGCCATTGGCCTGATTGATCCAACATGGCTGCTCTTATGTTCTTATATATTCATATTTTGGGCCTTTTAAAATTTATTTATGTAAGTTAAACCCCGCCTTTCTCCCCAACTAGGACCCAAACCAGCTCACATCATTCTCCTCATCTCCATTTTATCCTCACAACAACCCTGTGAGGTAAGAGAGTGGGTGGCCAAAGGAAATATGGGGAAGAATCACGTTCCCCGCTCAGAGATCCTTAAAGGGGGGGTGCACTAGATAGGAAGTGATCGCCCCTGTCTCTCCCATGAGGCCTCGGTGCAGGCCAGCAGACTTGGGGGAGGGGGATGAAAGGGTTGCGGAAAACCTACTGAGCGACTAACGTAAGTTAAAGTCTGGATTTATGGGCCACGAAGATGGACCATTGGCCTGACCCAACAATGGAGTCCTCGTAGGAACGAGGCGAACAGAAGCCTCCAACAGCTGCCACGGCCAGACGTATACAAGCCACTGAAAAAGCAGGTTGAAAGACTTCTGAGTTTCCAGAGCGGCAGCCAGACACGCACCGTAACACGCCCCATAAAGCCCGTCCTGGAAAAAAGTTGACAGCTTTATTCCCGCGTGCCCGGTGAGGAGAGCTACCCTCACGACTACCCTCATGACTCGATCCAATAAAAAGGTACAACCTGAACCGTCTCGCGGGCTGACGTCCTAATGGCTGGATTAATTTACACGTTTACGGACAACGAGGAGTGCGGCAGTTCCGGAGTTCGAGCCGCCGTCTCAAAACCACGCTGTGTCCTCGCAAGCCCTTGGAAGATGAAACTCAAAGAGCGCACAAGCTGTTTGCCCCGGGCCTAACAGTGGTGAAGAAGACAGCCGACTCCCTCCACGGCAAACGAATTCTGCGTGGCGCTGTCGTTAAAAATGGCTTCCCCGAGGCAACGACACCTGCAAACAGTGAACGGATCTGCAGATGACGAGGCGGGTAATTACCTTAAGTCTCGTCTTTTGGCGAGCTCTTCCAGCGGGATAACCCAAGGCAGGCTCTGGGGCAGGCACTGCAAGACCTCCGGGGAGAAGTCCGAGAAATCCACACCGTATTCCGTCAGGATGCCTTCCGTCTCTGGCTCGACTTCCCCAGCCTGGCCGAGGCTCTGGGCCAATTGCCTGGAGAAAAGGAAGCAAGGGGGGAGGGGAAGGGGAATCTGGTTTTAGCAGGTTATTGTCTTCAGCAGATGGGGGGATGAGTCAGAGACGAGCAAGCCTAAACGGGCGAGAGGATTCCCTCTATTTAGGGTCTGTTCCTCCAAATTTGCAGCCCGGCAAAATCTGGCCAAGCTCCAACTTCTCCTGTGTTCTGCACGCATACCCATAGCCCCCCCCCCACTAGACTGCAATGGACAGAGGGAGGGAGGGAGGGCTGGACACGAGGCACCCGCCACAGCATCAGATTCTTCACTCGGAAAAGTTCATGCCGTGTCTTGAAATGAAAGAGAACGAGACAATTTGCTGGGATTGCTTTAGAAATCACCTAACAGCGGCGGCCGTCTGGTCAGCCCCAGTCAATCAATGGTTTGTTGTCGTTAGCAAGGGGGATCCGTGGGCAGAAACAGCTGCTTAGCCAAGCCCCCCCCCAAGGAAAAAACTACCTGCGGCCAGAAACATCAGCAGGGAGGGGGCAGCTTTAAAAGGGGATTAGACAGTCTATCGGCGGCTACTAGCCACGGTGACTGATGCAGGAACCTCCGTATTCAGAGGCAGTCGAACTCAGATTACCACTGCCAGGAAGCAAGATAGCCGCTGTGTCCTGTTCCTGCAGAGGAACTGGTTGGCCACCGTGTGAGACAGGATGCTGGACTAGATGGACCCTCATTGGTCTGAACCAGCAGGGCTCTTCTGAGGTTCTCATGAAGGCCTCGGCCTCTCTGTCCTGATGTTGGCCCTCCGGAGGAACTGGTTGGCCCCTGTGTGAGACAGGATGCTGAACTAGACAGACTACTGGTCTGATCCAGCACGGCTCTTCTGAGGTTCTTATGAAGGCCTCAGCATCCATGCCCTGTTGCTGGACATCCAGTGGAACTGGTTGGCCCCTGTGTGAGACAGAAGGCTGGACTAGATGGGCCGCTGCTCTGGTCCAGCAGGGGCTCTTCTGATGTTCCCCCAGGAATGTGCACCATGTGCCTTACATGAAGAGAAGAAGAGATTGGATTTATACCCCGACCTTCACTCCCCAAAGGTGTCTGCAAGCGGCTTACATACTTCTTTCCCTTCCCCTCTCCACAACAGACACCCTGTGAGGTAGGCGGGGCTGAGAGAACTCTGACAGAAACTGCTCTTTTTCAATAACAGCTCTTATCAGAGCTATGGTTTGCCCAAGGTCATCCAGCCAGGTGCAAGTGGAGGAGTGGGGAATCAAACCCGGTTCTCCCAGATTAGAGTCCGCGCACTTAACCACTACACCAAACTGGCTTTCATGCAAGTAGGCCACCTATTTATTCAGTATATTTTTATCCCACACATCCTCCAAGGAGCTCAGGGTGAGGTACGTGGCTCTGCCCTCCCCTGTTATAGCCTCAAAACAACCCTGCCAGGTGGATTAGGCCAAGAGAGAGTGACCAGGACAAGGTCATATGGTGAACTTCACAGCCCATTGGAAATTTGCACTTGGTCTCCTCGTTCCTAGGCTGACATTAACACCACTAAACCTACACTAGTTCAAACACTGGAACTAGCACCACTGGCTGATTGCAACAAGCCGAGAAAACTGACACCAACTCTACCATGTACTTCTGGGACCAGGGAGAGAAGAAGCAATACAAATATCACAACAGAGGTATCCAGAGCTATTTTTGGGCAGGAACGCACAGGAACGGAGTTCCGGCTGGCTCCCGAGTTGGCCACGCCCAGGAGGAACTCATTAGCATAATAGGCCACGCCCAACAGCAGAAACTCATTCGGATTGGCTACATTAGGGGTGTGTGGCCTAACATGCAAAGGAGTTCCTGCTACAAAAAAGCCCTTGGTTTGGACAACAAACAAGGTAAACAGAATAAGAAGCAAAAGGTGGGTGTAGCTGGATAACCACACTCCTGGTAACATGGGGGTGTGGCCTAATGTGCAATGAGCTGTGCTGTCAGAGGTGTGGCCCAATACGCTAATGAGTTCCTGTTGTTGGGTGTGGCCTATTATGCTAATGAGCTCCTGCTGGACTTTTTCTACAAAAAAGAGCCCTGCCCATTTCTCTCCCCTGCTACAAAAAAGCCCTGGGTTTTGACAACAAACAAGGTAAACAGAATAACAAGCAAAAGGTGGGTGTGGCTGGATAACCACACTTCTGGTAACATGGGGGTGTGGCCTAATGTGCTAATGAGCTGTGCTGTCAGGGGTGTGGCCTAATATGCTAATGAGTTTCTGCTGTTGGGTGTGGCCTATTATGCTAATGACTTCCTGCTGGGCTTTTTCTACAAAAAGAGCCCTGGTTATCCCTCCTGCCCTTACTCCAGTCTTTGAGAGGCTTAGGTCTTGCAAAGCAGCCAGAAAGGGCTGCAAATCCCTGGGTGTTCTCAATTCCCACCAGAGACAAAGAAGGAACCACAGACAAGCCCATGGACCTTGCACTGTGACGTCTTGTTTCAGACCAGAAGATCGACAGACAGCTACATAAGAATTTAATTAAACAGGCTGGTCTGAACTAACAGCAGTTATGAGTCATTTACAGTGAAAACTGTGTACCTCATTGCCTCGTTGGGGAAACCTTTGAGACAAAGGACAAGAACCAACTTACAGGAAAGAAGAAGAGCCACAGTGTTCCCTCTAAGCTGAGTTAGTGTGAGCTGGCTCACAGTTTTTTAGCCTCCGGCTCACACGTTTGTCTTAGCTCAGGAAGGGATGGCTCCAGAGCAAACTAACTTATGCAGCAGCCAAATTGCTTGCTCACAACTTGAATGCCAAGTTGCTCACAAGACTCCACAGCTTAGAGGGAGCATTGAGTGTGACCCATTCCACCTGGGCAGCGGTGTCGGCAGCAAAAGCAGTTTTACCATCAATCAAATAATAGAACCCATAATTGGGATATATCGTTAGATGGTGGCTCACACTAACTCAGCTTAGAGGGAGCATTGGTTGGAAGTGGGGAAAAGAGAACGATTTTTGCAAAACAAATCAGCTGACCCACGAATGCCACTCAAAGTGGGCGGGTGGAGCAGCTCTATGTCAGAGGAGCCCGTAGAGACCAACCATTCACACACTGTGTTTAAAGGCAAGCTTTACTACACCTAAATGTGACATACGCCATAAAGGAAAGGACAGGGGAGCGGTACAGATCCAAAGTTCCCTAGGCTATACATTTGATTGTCTCGCACACACACACACACACACACACACACACATTTCCTGGAGCAGTAAGAAGTTTGAGAGCTTTAGGATGAGAGAGTACAGGACAGAATGACGTCATCTTCGTTGTTGTTGTTGTTCAGTCGCACAGTCGAGTCCGACTCTTCGTGACCCCATGGACCAGATCATGCCAGGCCCTCCGGTCTTCCGCCGTCCTCTGAAGTTGGCTCAATTTCATGTTTGTTGCATCGATGACACTGTCTAACCATCGCATCCTTTGCCGTCCCCGTCTTCTTTGACCTTCAATCTTTCCCAGCATCAGGGTCTTCTCCTCCAGTGAGTGCTCCCTTTTCATTGGGTGGCCAAAGTATTTGAGCGTCAGAAGAGCCCTGCTGGATCAGACCAGTAGTCCACCTAGTCCAGCATCCTGTCTCACACAGGGGCCAACCAGTCCCTCTGGAGGGCCAGCAACAGGCTGAGGCCTCCATAAGAATATCAGAAGAGCCCTGCTGGACCAGATGCCTCCAGGAAGCCTCCAAGCTGGATGACTAGGGAGGGGCCATGGCTCAGTGGAAGAGCCTCTGCCTGGCATGCAGAAGGTCGCAGGTTCAATCCCCGGCATCTCCAGTTAAAAGGACCAAGCAAGAGGTGATGGGAAAGACCTCTGCCTGAGACCCTGGAGAGCTGTCAAGAGGGGCTGTGGCTCAGTGGAAGAGCCTCTGCCTGGCATGCAGGAGGTCCCAGGTTCAATCCCCAGCATCTCCAGTTAAAAGGACCAGGCAGGAGGTGATGGGAAAGACCTCCGCCTGAGACCCTGGAGAGCTGTCAAGAGGGGCTGTGGCTCAGTGGAAGAGCCTCTGCCTGGCATGCAGGAGGTCCCAGGTTCAATCCCCGGCAAATCCAGTTAACCAGAGATGCCGGGGATTGAACCTGGGACTTTCTGCAGGCCAAGTCTCTTCTGCTGAGCCACAGCCCCTCCCCCACTCCTGGCTGCCACTTCAAATCCCTTCAGTCTGTGGACGGTGAAACCTGCAAAGGGGGGGGTTTTCTGCATTGTCTAGCAGTCTGACTCGTCTAGCAGTCAGGGTATGCCGAGTCTCTCGAGTGCCATTTGCGGAAATGCTTTCACTGCCGTATGTCAATAAATTAATTACATTATTTATTGTTACAGCTGCCCGCAGCCGTTCCTCTGTTAGATGGATCTTGGCTAGTGGGCCGGGACAGGCGGTGTGCGTTCTCTCTGTGGCGGTTCCAGACCCATCTGTCGTGACCGCACAAGATGAGTCCTCCAGGGTTCATGCCAGGAGCTGGTCTCCCGACACCTTGGGGAGCAGGGGATCGCTCTCTCTGTCTCTGGCTGTCTTGACGCTTCAGGACAAAGTCCGAGTTCAGAGGCACCTTTCAGACCAACAAAGTTCTATTTTGGGTATCAGCTTTTGTGCGCACGCACACTTTGTCAGATACTTCAGATACATGTATCTGAAGCAATGCTCCCTCTAAGCTGTGGAGTCCTGTGAGCAAAAATTCTACTTTGTGAGCTATGGGCATTAAAGTTGTGAGCGAGCGATTTGGCTGCTGCATCAGTTTCCAAGTTTCCAAGTTTCGTTTATTGTCTTAGCCATTGGCCATAACAGCACAAAGTAAATCAAAGCACAACAGAAATATACATCAATAACTTGCAGTAAGTCCTAGACCCCGTCTTATCTTTTTTGCCGCCAGTGCAAACAAAGCCATTCTGCTAGTAACATGTGCATCAGTATCAGAAAGCAAGAACACGGTCAAATCCTGCTCAGCAGTTCCATTATACAGAGGTACAATAGGATAAATAAACCTTT